TCTTTTTATCCCTCTTTCCTTTCATTGTCTCCAATTAATATCAGTATTCCAAACAACAGAAACAGAAATAAAACAAAAACAAAAGTAATATGATACTTTTATTTCAGTGTCAATTTCTGTAGACTGTGGTCTGTGTATCTTAATGTAACACCCAAAAGTTCACATTGAAAATACATGTGTTAATCTTAAAGCTTTTGATTACAATACTTTTGCATTAGTTAGAACAGAACACAATTGCATTAGTTTTGTTTTTGTTATTGTTGCTGCTAAAATACACTAACGCAGTTGCCTCACTGAAAAGTGTGCCCGACTGTAACCTGCCAGCTGATTGCCACCTTCCCATTGTCAATGAATAGCCACGGGCTGGCAACCAAAGATGTGAATAGCTCCTCAAGCATACAAGGCCATCCTGGAAGCCCCACTGACATTTGCTGTGGGAGATTTAGGCAGTCCTCCGAATGTGGGCATACTCCTGTCAGTGGGAAGATCCCTTGCCTGGGATAATGCCATCTTCGTCACTGAGTATCTGCTTCTATGTGCAAAAGCCACTATCCACTGTAACAAAAAAAGCAATGATGAAGAAGGAAAAGAAAAAAACAGTACTGCTAATACACAACATTTATTTCCAACAAAATTAACGCAGACTTCACAACAGGGAAGGGTTGGCAAGCAAAATCACAGAGATGACTTGGCCAGAGAGGAGCTGGGTGTGTGTGCTTCTTATACCTTTTTCTGAGTGGCCTGGACTGAAAATTGCTGTCCTCTGGTCCATCCTGATTGGCTGTCTTTCTCACTCCTCTGTGGTCAAACTTTCCCAGCTGAGGCAGACTGGGATGACGGAATACAGATGGTGGCCAGCTTTCCCACAGCTCACTACTTGCCAGGCCACAAACCAATAGTGACTGTGGGATTCTAACTAAACACCATCTCATTACAGAAATAATACAGGTCTGAAGGTTGTGGCTATACTAGCTTGAAATTTATCAAAACAGCAACTGGGGAAAAGTAAAAATACATAGGGATAGTAGAATTTTTTTCAGCATATCTTGAGAGTAGTGTCTTGAAAACAGTTAATCCCCACAAAATGTATGCTCATTCTACTATCATTTCTGGTCACACTGTCTTTCAGGAGGCTCATTCAGTTTATTCTAAAAGGAATCTGCCTCAATCTGTGTTTGACAAATTAGCTTAACTTCTGTTTTGCACTTGGGTCATCTGAGAGACAGCACTGCTTCATCTGGGTGTCTGCTGTCTTAGACACTGTAAGAATGACACTGACAGATTCAGGTTGCCTGGAGGAATAACATCATAAGAGGAGGAAATAATCTTTTGCTTTCATTTGTGAAATGACCCTCAAACAGCTGCAAAACTAGTTTGGCCAGAAAAAAACTGAAAGCCTCATTAGACCATGGGAAGATTTCATATATAGAAAGGATGTAATCTCAAGTGGTAAAAAACATTTCACTGGAGAAACACATTAAAAGGTGCTGAGAGAGTGTTATCCCTGTATCTCTGGAATGTAAACAACAACTTCCTTGGCATGTCTAAAGGTAACATAAGGATGATAACATTGTTGGGGAGGAAACAATATCAGACCAGGAAGGAGGCATTTCTTAAAATGTGTGCTTTGGCCACTGAATCAAAAGGAATGAGTATCTTCACCACTAGAAAGGATGCACTTGTTACAACCCCTTGAATTTGATCAAAAAATATTGATTTGTCTTCAGGTGGCAATCAGAAACCTTATAGCACAACCCTATCCATATTTACTCAGGAGAGTCATGGAACTCAATCAATATTGGATCCACTAATGTACAGGATTCTAGCCTTAATTTTCAGGTACCCAATTTGAAAATGGTCTTTTGCGCCTTCCATCAAGGCTACTAATAACACATACCCATAAATATGACTTTGCTGGATTTTGGATTAACTCCCCATCCTAACAATAATAAACACCCATACCGATTACTAAATTCCAGATCAAAATAAATCTATGCCACACAGAAATTAATGCAATGATAATGTTGCCTTTCCAAGCAGAAAGTTTAAATCCCTTATAATCCATCTGTTCTCTTCAAATAATAGAAGATTCTTGTTCTGTGAGAATGTATGTATAGATGAGAGGAAAGGACTGTTTTAAATATAAAAAGGCAGATGCAGGGGCAGAGGCAAGGCATATTTGTGAACAGACCTTTTAGTCTATTCCAGTTGATCGGGATGCACTTAATCAGAAAATCCACTTAACTAGGACATCACCCGGGAAACCAGTTTAACTTAATGAGAGTAAATGAAAATGATGATGGCCTATCTAAAACATATTTATAAGTGTCTTTTTAACTCTTGTTACTTACCTCCCATCCCACTTATTTCCACTAAATTAAAAAAATTAACAAAGATGACATTAATCAAGATACCAAAATAATCATTTTTCATGATCTGAAGGAACCTTAGACAAGGATGCTGTTCTCTTACAAAACTCACACTGTCAACTGTCATTAGCTACTCAAGGAAAAATCATATTTGCACAAGGCACATTTTCATATCAAGCAAGTGCTCATAAAGCTATATACTTATATATTCTCAACTATACTCCCCTTGCCATTTCCTTTCTGGGAAAAGCAATTCTGCTCCAATTTAAACTCTTCCAACAAGACTGCAATAGACAAGACTCTTTAAAAAAGAAAAAGAAAAACAACAACACCCTTTCCATTTCCTGAAACCCCATGGCACTTATTAGTAAAGCACCTGACACACTAGGGATATTTTCCTATACTGTACTGCATTTAAAATGGAAAAGGTATATCAACATCACAGACTTAGAGAGTAATCCTTTCCATCATTACTCTGAAATAAGTCCCCAAAAGTTCAGTGAAATATTCCCAGGTAAGTGTGGACAAAATTGCCCTCTTAACCTGGGTCATATTTGTTTTCTTTCCCAAAGAAATTGTACAGAGTGGAACAAATTCTAATAGAATTTCTAGCACCCCCCCCATCAAATGACAATATTCCTTTGTGGAAACATGATAAATTAAACTGGAATAAAATCAGTAAGAAATAGATACAATAGGGGTTTCTTTGCACACAAGTCACACTGATGTTCATCAATATGTTATGCCCTTATAGTTTACAAAGGGGGTTAGGTAAACTGCAGAGAAATTAATGGAGAAGAAGGGAGATTATGTGATAACCTGTGTCAGGAGAGGCTAGAACAATTTTTGGATATTAAAGATTTATCCTCTGACCTGAGGTCTTGACAGCCTCCCCAAGATTAAAGGAATTTCTGGGGGGGGGGGAATGAGGGACTGGAAATATTTACAGTAATTAACAATAAATGGCTGCAGCTGATGATATAATCACCCTTGCACATGTGGAGCTGTGCCAACAGGATTTCCATCAATTTCTCTGAAAGCTTCCTGCATTTTTATTGTTTTATGTATTTTTTCTTTCTACAGAAAGTTCAGCTTCTTTGATGAAAGAAGAGCATCATGACTTACACAAATACCCTTAGCGAAAGTTTCCCAATCTTTTTCAAGAATTGTAGTTTTCACATTGTTTGTTTGTTTGTTTGTCTGATTCGTATACCACCCCTCTAGTGTACACATTATTCTATGCAGTTTACGAATTAAAAACTTCGAACCTCAGACAACCTCAGTAGTGCTACATCAATATTTATTATACAACAGCACAAATTCACTGCATCTTTTGCAACAGGCACCATTCTAAGACCCAGTTAATTTTTAATGGATTTCTTAATTAGCACTGAAACACTTCTATAGTTTTTTTAAACTATTCAGCAAACTCCCCAAACAATTTATTATTTTAAAAAGAAAAAAAATCAGATCAGCAGCATTTTATCAACTTTTTTATGCAGTAAAACACCTCCAATCTATACTTTCGATCCAAAGCAAACATTTTTTATTCTATGAATAGCAATAGGCAGTCATACTGAAAAGATTCTTCTTCTTTGTTTGTGTCACAAGCAATCAAATGATTGTATTAGCACTAATTAACTGATTTTCATTTTCTTTAAATTATCTCTTGGAAATTCAGACCATTATTATTTTTAAAATCATCTCTCTGGAGAACTGGATCTTTACCAAACACAAGCAGCTACATCACACTCAGTGATGTAGCTAGAACAGAATGGAATTAATAGACAAAAACTGCCATACACCCACACACACACAGCAGAAATTAAACTGTGGTTCTCTTACGCTCTTAAATAAAGAGTAAATATTATGCAAGGCAGAAGCCATCTCTGGAAACAGCCTGACGGAGCCTTAGTGTTACTAAAACCTCTACAGAGCCATTTTGTCTTCTCCTGCTTAAGTTTTTCCTGCAACACCTACTCTGAGGCCAGGTCTACACCTGGCCTGCAGCACTGCATTATTAACAGGGGCACTTATTCAATTAAAGGTTTCTGCTCCTTTGCAAGTTAGAATATTGTCGTTCTGTGTTCCAATAGGATTCAGTAAAAGTGTTAAGTCCAAAGACACTGAATGTGTGTGTACTGCTCCTTCAAACCAGTTTTCACTCTGAATCTAGTTTTCTTTATTCTATTCCATATGACTGGAGCAGGGGAGCACCCTCAATAGTGGTGGAAAGGCAAACCTCTTCTCACTTGGGACATGAGTTAAAATTGTCCATGAAACGCTGCAAGGGTGACCAGCGGAGCAGAAGTGTCATTTTGCATTCCTCTGAGCATTTACTAAGGGGCATATCCAAATTAATCTGGAGGGACTTGCCAGCAAGTAAACACACTGAAAGAGACACAAATTAAAATATGGTAAAGGCAGAGATAATGAACAAAGCTTGCTCTTTCACACTACCCAACTGAAGGGCAACAGCTAACCATGAAGATGTGAAGCGAATTTTGTTTGTGGAGTTTCTTCAGGAGGTTTCCCTCCTGAAGAGAGAGATCAGGTATCGGGGGAGGGGTGGAAGAGACCATTCCTTATTGAGACTAAATTCCCTCCTCAGCCTTTCTTCCCCTTCATTACCTCCTGCCTTTGTCGCCATCTTGTTCCTATCCCATCTGAAAGTGCTGCTTGAGTGTGCAACCAGTTTTCATGGCAGAAACTGAGGCCCCTGCGTCACTCTTATCCCTTCCTTCACATTGTTTCTCACCCTATAGTGCCCCCTCTATTGGAATTCAGCAGATGCCATAGTGTTGTCCAGTAATTTTTAGCAGTTGCCAGGATATATAGTACAGTACTAGACATTACTCCTTCCTGATGTGGAAAAGTTGCCTAACAGTGGCTTTCTGTTATTCCAGATTGAGAGGTCATTTTTACCCACAGTCTGTACTATGAGACCCAAACCTATAAGGATAGTTTCAGAAATAATTTTTGTCTTAAATACAAAACAAAACGGGACAGAACAAAGCTAATCCAGAGACCATCAGCAGTTATGCATTTTTGTTTGCCTATACATGAACAGTTGAATCTGCAAAGGTAACTTTTTCACACTTTAAACACTACATAAACCTTAGCTACTTTTTCAGGATAATGTTGTCATTTTTGGGAGGGCCCCAACCCCACACTTGTGTCTCTTTCAGCATATAGATATATATGTATAATACTGTATATCTATATATTAGTTAGCTAGCTATTATATATGTTACATATGTTATATCTATAATGGCTTAAAAAGAGGGTTGGAGAGTTCCTCATCTCTGATGAATAGTCCTTTGGGACCCTTTCCATGCTCATCTAGAGAGTACAGATTGTGAATGTTGATCAGGCCCTCCATGTATAAGGCCTGGAACAATTGCCCTCAACTAAATGGAAGCTTTTACTGATCACTTTAAAAGGCACCAATTCAGTCTTCACCACCACTTCTGTTAGCTTTTTTCATTTTTCAGTTTCTGAAGTAGAAAGTAGTTTTATGCAATGTTATTTGGCCACCCTTTGCATTAGTCACAGAGCTTTTGGAGCAATTTTTCACAAATTAAAACTGTATTTGTTTAAACATGTTAATATGGTATTTGCATTAAATGCACTTCTTTGATATCTAGCCAATGATTCACCTGATAAAAATATAAGAAGTGTGGGGGTGTTTGCTTGAAGTTTAAAGAGGATTAAAAGAAGGCAGTCTGTAATTCAGTCTGGATGCTCTGTTGGTATGTGCTCGTCTTTTTAACTTGTGGAGCAGCAGCAGAGATTTTAAAAAGTGAAACTTTATTATGGTCAAAGATCATCAAAGGTTGAAATGAAACAATAGACCTGGTTAATATGTGGGGACCATGCAAATATTTCCCTGAAGCTCTACATTTGTGTTTGTTAGATATCAGCCTTGGTATTGATCTTGCATTTTGATTTCATCTGCCAACCCATTTGCCAAATAATTCTTTGGTCCTCGAACTCAATCACTATTGATACCTAGGACAGCAGTCAAATTGTCACCTGAGCATGCCTCAACTTCCTTTTTGTTGTCACGTGGTCCAGATTACAACCAAAATACAACATCAAGACTTAGGTTCAAATAAGGTATGTTGGTGGCACTTCCCTTTGTTTAACTATTTGTATTCCTTCAATGTGTATTAAGAGGGATGAGGAGTCTGATTTCAAGAAGTAAATACAGTTCTAAAGGGAAATGGTGTATCCTGAAGGAAGTTTATTCTTGATCCTTTTCTTCATCCCTCAAATTTTTGGGGTTCTATGTGTACATGTCAAGTATTCTACACTTCCATAATTCTTGCTTTATCACTGTATTTATGAGTCACAGTATGAGTCATGCTATAGTTGTTGAAATACCAAGGATGTTTTTTGCTACAGATTGCATAAGTGTGTTATGATTAACCTCAGTAAACTTTGGGGGGAAAGGTGAGGAAAAGAAAAAGAATGGTATGGATAGAAAGTGTGAATGCTCCCATTTGCCTTTATTTTATCACTTGATTTTCATAATACAGTACTTTATATTATATTGGGTCCATGTTGATTCTTTTTATTTCTGTTTTTCCAATATACATATTATAGCTGCCGCATATAGATCTTTTTATTTCCTCTTATATATTTTACCAGACTGACTGCTGTTGCTCAGTTTTAATAGCTCCTTAGATCTACCGTAAACAAGTTTTTACTCTTTCAGATTCCTATCTCGGTATTTCATGAACTGGGCAAAGAGCCAGCATTGGCACAGGTAAAACACTTTGTGCTGTCTGGCATGAAACTCACAATAGTACTTTTGATTTATTTTCACTGCCTTATTTTAACTTAGCATTGCACTTTTCTTTTTTTAGTCCTTATTGCCAATATTCTTTGTTTTACAAAATGATATTAAAAATAAGTCAAGATTAAAATCAGAAGCATACAGTACTTTACACTAAAATATATGCATGTATTTTCTCAATCAACCTTTAGAACAGTGAGCAGGTATAATCATAATGGGAGATAAGACTGCTTATTTCTTGTACTGTTGTCAGTTGGGCCTCAGGGATGTACCTGTGTTCAATGTTCTCTGTGAAATTATGGTGCTTCTGGGACCCCTCTGTATGTATCAATTGTAGCTCAGAATGTTAGAGAATTGTAGAGCTGTTTTGTTCATCTTTCAGGACACTTTCACCAGCCATACATTTACAGGCAGAGGAGCAGAGTGGGACCTCTACACTCTAGTGGAGTTTAAATATCCTGCAGCTTGCAAGAAAGGGAATAATTTTTCAGTGCATACATTGGTCCCTTGCATGGCACACTTTTTACTAATAGAGATGGGCACGAACTGAGCCACCAAAAAAACACACACAGAAAAACTGACAAATTGTGCTGGTTTGTGGTTTGGTTCATGACTCAGTTCAGGCATCCTATTTTGCCAAAGCAGAAGAAAGTGCCAAACTTTTCCTCTCAGTGGTTTATTTTGCTTTGGCAAAACAGATGCCCATCTGCTGCCTTCCCACTGTCCCCATCACCTCCCTACATGGTCCTGCCACTGCTGCCACCACGATTGTCAAAGATAGTGGGCTGGCTTCCTTTCCAGGAGGTGGGCTTGCTGCCTCTGCACATGTGATCACCACCCAGCTGATAGGCAGCTGAATGTGCAGAGGCAGTGGCAAGCTCCAGGGTGGGAAGCCAGCCCACTGTCTCTGACAATGGTGGCGGCAGCTGCAGAAGGACCACGTAGGGAGGTGACAGGGCAGTGGGAAGGGGGTGGGCAGTCCCCTCTTACATGAACCCGAAAAACGAACCACAAAACAGTTCATTTTTTGTGGATTTGTGATGGTTCATGGTTCATGGGTAGCCAGTTTTCTGTTTCATGTCTATCTCTACTAATAATGATGAAGACAAAGATAAAATGGTATCAAATAAGAGAAAGCACATTAAAATACATTCTGGAGTTTAAGGCTCTACTGAGTAACTACTACTTCTAAAATTAATTATGTGTCATCAACTCAATTCCTTTTAAAAGTTTTCTAGGTGTAGAATACGGGAATGGCAAACCACCTCTGAGTACTCTACACTGTAGGTAGAGTACTCAGGTGGTTTGCCATTCCCATATTCTGGTGGCACTCTAGAACTGTGCAGTTTGCCCAAAGCTGTACAGGCTCGATCATTTCCTGGGAGGGGTGGCACTCTGGAACTGTGCAGTTTGCCCAACGCTGTACAGGCTCGATCATTTCCTGGGAGGCACTGTGGGGAATTGAACTTCCTACCTCCTATTTCACTGATGTATTCTTGTTTTCCAAAGCCTATGTTATTGATGGCTTTTCCTTATATTAAAGGACACAAAACAGGTTAGGACATGCCCTTAATTGATCTAGTGTTAGTTCTATGACTTTAGTACACACAAATTTAAACAGTCTGTGTAATGGTCATACTTTCACCTAGATAGGTTAGTTCAATAACAAATATTTGCTTATCCTTTTCTTTCGTGACATTGCCCTGTCAACAAGTCTTTTATTTTCAGAGAGCTGAAAGTGGTGTGATGGAAATATTGCTGCCTGCTGTGCAAGCTCAGGCTTCTCCTCCTCCCCTTCCAGGAATATTTCTGATCAAATGAATTTTGCAGATTTCTGAATAACTGCAGAACCCACTTTGATCAGAAAGAATAGCAGGATTAATATGTACTGTATATGCACTAACCAAAACCAAATGCAGAGACGTTATGGGTCAGTTTACCATGTTTCCAACCTGCCTTTATAGTTATCTCTGTCATAATGGTCTGATGTGGAGAAATCAACATGTGAGCTTTCTCATGAGCTAGCTTTGTTGCCTACCAATGAGTATGAATCAAGCCACAGTTATAACCATAACTGCTGATTTACAGGTTGGCAGCATTAGAAGCCCTCCAAAGAAAAACTGCTATTTATTATACAACCATATTTATTTTCACAAATGTTAAAATGCAAAGTGATGATCTTCTAAATTTCTGCAAATCTTAATTACTTTCCTGTCTTATTATTCATATGTCATCAAAATCCTGCAATGCAGGATTTAAAAAAAAAGATCTTCCATTTAGCTTGTTTTTGTTTAGAATGCCTTTTGTTGTGGCTATTCTGTACTAATACTAAGCCTTTCACAAATCTATGTTGTTCCTCTTAATTCCTAGCAAACAGCACATGCAAAGAAAAACTTACCTCATGATGCCTTTGATCTTCTCTGGCTCTCTTTGCAAAGTGAGAATCATGATGCTACCCTGTTTCCCGAAAATAAGACCTAACCTGAAAATAAGCCCTAGTGTGATTTTTCAGGATGCTCGTAATATAAGCCCTACCCCAAAAATAAGCCCCAGTTAAGTGAAACCCCGCCCTCCACCATTGTGCAGCAACCAGAAGAAGATGACATGACTGCATTTGAATAAATGTAGATTGTTGTACATGAAAAAAATAAAGCAACCCCTGAAAATAAGCCATAATGTGTTTTTGGGAGCAAAAAGTAATATAAGACCCTGTCTTATTTTCGAGGAAACACGGTATTAAGGTGGTAAGCCATTTGCTATCTATAGGGCATTGGCAAATGACCACATTTACTATTGTCTGAAGCAGCCCCTGTTAATAACTAACTACAACCTTTTAGTGCAACTCATATACCTTAACAAAGTACAATGTTGCACGGAAAACCAGATGCTTACAAAACAAAATAGTGACCAGAATCTTGTTATTTATGTATGCTAGCATAAGTTAA